AACAAACAAAAAAACCCGAAAATGAGGTACCATCTCACACCTGTCAGAATGACTATCATCAACAAATCAACAAATGACAAGTGCTGGAGAGGATGTGGAGAAAAAGGAACTCTCATGCACTGCTGGTGGGCATGCAGACTGGTGCAGCTACTGGGGAGAACAGTATGGAGTTTCCTCAAAAAACTAAAAATGGAGCTCCCATTTGACCCAGTGATTTCACTTCTAGGAATACATCCCAAGACACTAGAAACTCCAATCAGAAAGGATATATGCACTCCTATGTTCATAGCAGCACAATGTACAATAGCTAAGATTTGGAAACAGCCTAAGTGCCCATCAGCAGATGAGTGAATTAAAAAACTGTGGTACATCTACACAATGGAATACAATGCTGCTGAAAAAAGGAAGGGACTCCTACCATTTGCAATAGGATGGAGCTGGAGAGCATTATGCTAAGTGAAATAAGCCAGTCAGAGAAAGATAAATATCACATGATCTCACTCATTTGTGGAATATAATGAACAACATAAACTGATGAACAAAAACAGATCCAGAGACAGAGAAGCATCGATCAGACCGTCAAACCTCAGAGGGAAGGTAGGGGAGGGAGGGGTAAGGGGGAGAGATCAACCAAAGGACTTGTATGCATGCATATAAGCATAACCCATGGACACAGTCACCAGGGGGGTGAGGGCATTAGCGGGGTGGAGGGGTGGGGGAGCAAAGGGGGGCATAAGGACACATATGTAATACCTTAATCAATAAAGAAAAAAAGAACCCAGCTCAGATGCTACTTCCTCCCTGAAGTCTTCCTCATTCCTATCCCCAAGCAGTCTCCTTTTGTGTTCTTATAATAGTTTCTAAGTTTACTTGAACACTTATTATATTACATTCAGTTTTGTGTTTATTCAGTTTCCTCTACTAAAATGTAAGCTACTGAGAGCATGGATTGTGTTCTGGTCTAGGGCAGTGATGGCGAAGCTATGATAAGCGTGTCAGAGGTGACACGCGAACTCATTTTTTTGGTTGATTTTTCTTTGTTAAATGGCATTTAAATATATAAAATAAATATCAAAAATATAAGTCTTTGTTTTACTATGGTTGCAAATATCAAAAAATTTATATATGTGACACGGCACCAGAGTTAAGTTAGGGTTTTTCAAAATGTTGACACGCTGAGCTCAAAAGGTTCGCCATCACTGGTCTAGGGTATATCCCACAGCCTTTATTATTAATGTATGATACTTAATTCAACTGAAAAAGCTGGAATTTAAAAAGTGACACCTAGTCTTAAGCCTCACTCTCTGTCCCATGGTGTTTACTCACTTTTTTCAGCTTCTATAATCTACCTAAAAAATCACTATTTTTCTTCTACTAACTATAGTTACCCATCTGTAATTTACCCTAAGAAAAAAATTCTCTTTTAAAGGTGATCTCCTGGTTCGTGGGTCGACACCCAACCACTGTGCCACACTGGCCAGGCAAGAAAAAAATTATTAAAAGGGGGAAAGAAAAGCTCTAGTGGAAAAAGTAGAAACATTTCAAGTTTTCAACAATAAAAACAGGCTAGACACATGTGAAAGACATTGGCCTGATGGAAACTGATATGTCAAATGAAAACTGAGTATTGAAATATGATGAAAATCTAAAAAATGGTGAAAGACAAAGGTAGAACACAAAATTCTATCTACACTACAATTAGGAAAAAGAATATGCAAATAGGTGAGAACCAGAAGGAAATGCTGAAAATCAAGATTGCTGTTTGTTACAGTGAATAATTTCAGATTTTTAAAAAAAGGTACCACTCGAGGATATGTTATTATTGATTTGAGAGAGAGGGAGGAATGGAGAGAGAAACAACAACGTGAGAGAGAAACATTGATAGGTTGCCTCCTGTTTGTGCCCCAACTGGGAAGCAAACTCACAATCTAGGTACATGTCCAAATTGAACCCGCAAACTTTTGGTGTACAGGACGATGCTCCAACCACTGATCCACCTGGCCAGGGGGGTGGCACCATTCATTTTTTATGTTGATACATAGTACCACAATTTCTCCCCAAAAGAAAAAAATGTCCTTTTAAAAGAAATAGTATGATCAATATTTAAATATGCAGTCCATTAGATTTTTAAATTCCATGAAGGTAGAACAATGGATCTCCATTGGGGGTGAGTTTGCTTGACACCCTCCCTAGACATTTGGTGATGTCTGGAGATATTTTTGGTTGTCATGATGGGGTGGGGGAATCTACTGGTATATAATGGTGGGAGCCAGGAAGGCTGCTAAATATCCTACAATGCACAGAACAGTCTCCCCTTCCTTCTACAAAACAATCAGCCAGCCCCAAATGTCAATAATGTCATTGCTGAAAAACTATAGGGTAGAGAATGTGTCATCGTATTGGTTTCTAGAAACCTACTGGCTAGAACAGTGCCTAGGGTGCAGAAAACACTCAACATATATGAATGAACACACACCATCCTTTCTCCTTGGACTTTATCCTGAAACTGTGAACTACCCCACTGTCAAGCTTTTTATTTTGTGCTCAGTCTCATCTAATAAACCAAATTCTGAAGCTTCATAGGATCAATTCTTTATAATGTATCAAAGGCACTATGAGTAATGACTTCTTATAACTTCCAACTTCTAAAAACATCAAAATTTGCTACTTAGTTTTTAATACCTTTAACACTTGGTAGTAACCCGAAGAGTAGTTATAACTCATTTTAATAAAAATACAAGCATAAAAATAAAGACACATTATAAAATATTTTTCTAAGTACTGTTTCAAAACAGAGGGGAAGGAGGCTGGGGGGAGGGCTTTGAAGAAGGTAAAGGGAGTCAAATATATGGTGATTGAAGGAGACTAAACTTTGGGTGATGAGCACAGTGTATTATAGAATTATACACTTGAAATTTATATCTTATTAACCATGTCATTCCAATAAATTTAGTAACACAAATATGGTTTCAAGAATAAATTACCAATTATGAAATGACTTCTAAAAAGCCTGATGATCTTCAATCACAAATTCAACAGATTAAAGGAACATTTCTGAACATCCACCATGTACAGACCACTATACTATACTTAATATAGAAAATTTTCTATTTTAACTATACCATGTAAAAAAATGAAAATAAAATAGTCTGGCTGTTGTGGCTCAGTGGTTGAGCATCAACCTATGAATCAGGAGGTATGGTTAGATTCCTGGTCAGGGCACTGCTTGAGTTGTGGGCTCCATCCCCAGTAGGGGGTGTACAGGAGGCAGCAGATCAATTATTCTCATCATTGATGTTTCTATCTCTCTCTCCCTCTCCCTTTATCTCTGAAATAAAAAAATATTAAAAAAATAAAATCAATAAATACACCATGTAAACAACTACTAAAGTAATATTGACATAATATCTTACCACATCTTGTTTCAATTCTTGTACAGGGGATTCATTTCCAACTTTGTGTGCAGTGTTCTCTGTTTCCTATTTTAAAACAAGAGAAACAGAGACCAAATGATAACATCCTTTCTTTAAAACTCTGTTTAAAATGGGTATAAATTAGAAAATACAGCATTAATAAATCAAACACCCAGCCCAGCTGGTGTGGCTCAGTGGATGATCATCGACCTATGAATCAGGAGATCAGGGTTCGATTTCTGGTCAGGGCACATGCCTGGGTTATGGACTTGATTCCCCAGTAGGAGGCTTGCAGGAGGCAGCCAATCATTGATGTTTCTATCTCTTTATCCTTCTCCCTCTCCCTTCTTCTCTAAAATCAATAAAAGTATATTTAAAAAACAAATAAATAAAAGGCCCATAAAGGGCTCAAATGTTTATATACTGATAGATGCCCAGAGGTTTTATGCCAACCGGGACAATATGGTTTGTATAAGAAGGTTATCAAACTGCAATTTTTAATTTTTTGACTGCAATAGAATATTTTCCTTTAAAAGTGTCTTTTTAACCTTAATAAACTGTGCAGCAGGGATGGGAAACATCCGGCCCGCATACCATATAAGGTTGGCAAAATCATTTGGTCTGGCCCTGCCAAGCCATTGGGGGTGAGTTAATTAAATGTCTGACAAAATACAGTAGGCTAACTTTTAAGTTGATAATTTTGTATGGTCTGCAAATGATGTTATAAATATCCAAATGGCCCTTGGAGGAAAATAGGTTCCCCATCCCTGCTATACAGAAAGATAAGAACTACTAAGTACCTTCATAGCCTAAAAGAGATTAAGAATTTAAGCAAAAATAACAAAATATTGCTGCATAAATATGCATAAATATAAAAGTAGCCGAAACCGGTTTGGCTCAGTGGATAGAGCGTTGGCCTGCAGACTGAGGGGTCCCAGGTTCAATTTCGGTCAAGGGCGTATGCCTGGGTTGCGGACACATCCCCAGTGGGGAGTGTGCAGGAGGCAGCTGATGGATGTTTCTCTCTCATCGATGTTTCTAACTCTCTATCTTTCTCAATGCAGAAAAAAACATTCAGACAATTGTTTTCTTAAAAACTCTATATTCTTTAGAAAAAAAGGAAGCAAAACTTAACCAGAAATTAAATGAAGTCCCAGAACAATAGATGAACAAAATTAAGCCCACCAAAAATACATATATATCTACGTATACATTCATATACACATACGTACATATATATATATATTTGGGAGGTTAGAGAAGGTAGAAGTAGATACTGCATTTTTCTAGGAAAAATTTTGGGTGAAATAAGATAATCATGCATTTGTAAAACATAACACCATATTTTTCTCCATCTTAAGTTAGCTTTACATTTATAGAATACAGCAATTTGAACACTACTACTAATACTGAGAGAAAAAAAACACCTCTTCATAATTCTTGGTGCACACCACAGACTTGTTAAAGAAGGCATTTTTTTTGTCAGATAAGTGACTTAAGACACACAAGAATGTATGTAAGTATTAGGGTAGCACTTCTACAAAGTATCCAGATGTTATCACAATAGGCTCCATGATATAGTTACTCCAGAGATTATTAGATTCTACTAATTTTAAGTGTTAGATAAAATTCAAAGTCTACCACAGCCCAAGAGGGCCTAACATGATATTGCCCTTGCCTTCATCTTTGACATCTTCTACATTTTCATCCTACCTCTCCTACCAATACCCCACGATTACACTTGATGGCTCTCTACCATCCTTAGAGTCATAGCTCCAGTGTTATTACATCAGAACAGCCTTCCCTTACTACCCTAAAATAGCCTCACCCCCTCAACTTTCAATCACATTATCCTATTTTCTTTTTCTTCTTTGAACTATCATCATCTGAAACTACCTTGTTTACTTATTTTTTTTCTCTTCCCTACCTCACTAGAATGTCAGCTCCTTGTTTTTTCTGTCTACCACTAGTTAACCAGCACCTAAAACAATGCCTGGCAAAAGTAATCACTTGTTGAATGAATGTTGAATAATGCATGTTCTGACTTTTCTTCAATTAATACACATATCTTAAGTTTATATATCCTTTAATCAAATACTAGCATTAAACTTATTACAAACACCTATAATCAAAAGCGATTAAAGGTGGGGGAAGAGTTAACTGGAAAAAGGTGGTCAAAAGGTATAAACTTCTAGTTAGAACAGTGGTTCTCAACCTTGGCTGCATATTAGAATCACCTGGGAATCTTTTTAAAATCCTGATGTCTGGGCCTCATCCTCCAGAAATTCTGTTTCTTTGTTATGGGGTGGGGCCACAACACTAGTAACAAAGAAACAGAATTTCCGGAGATGAGGCCCAGACATCAGGATTTTAAAAAGATTCCCAGGTGATTCTAATGTGCAGCCAAGGTTGAGAACCACTGAGAAGATAAATAGGTACTAGGGATGTAATGTACAACACAATGGCTATAGCTAACACTACAGTTTAATATACAGGAAAGTTGTTGAGAGTAAAGAGTTTTCATTACAAGGAAATTTTCCCCCATTTTTCTTTCTTTTTATTGTATCTATGTGAGAAGGTAGATGTTAGCTAAACCTATTGTGATAATCATTTCTTAATATATGTAAATCAAACCATCATGCTGTACTATTTAAACTTATACAGTGATGTATGTCAGTTACATCACAATAAAACTGGGAAAAAGAAACAAAAGCACAGTTAATGCATGTTAGAGAAACACCTTCAACTGCATTAAAAATTAAGTATAAGTATCCAATTCTCCTCCAATAACTGTTCATGAGTAAGAAAATCAGAGGCATTGTACAACCTATATCCATGGATAGTTTCCCTAAATTAACCTAAGCAAAATTACACACTAAAAACTCTTGGACCTCATTTTAATTTGTTTGAATTATAAAGATCACAGATTACTATTGTTACACTGACCAAAACTGCCAAGCAGTGATTAGACTTCTATTTTATTTGGCTTTAATAAAACTCTCTTGGACTTTGAACTTTTGAAAGCTATCAACTCCTATAAGTTAAACTGCTATTAAGTCATAAGTTTGTAAGTTTAAAGGAGTGATATGGCACCTACCAGAAGATACAATCTCTAGAGAAGTAAAATTGAAAGATTTCTTAGTAAAACCTCATTTAGTATATCATAGCTATCCTATATAATAAGAGGCTAATATGCAAATAGACCAAACTACAGAATGACTGGTTGCTATGATGAGCACTGACCACCAGGGGGCAGACGCTCAAGGCAGGAGCTAAGGAACAGGGAGCCTGGCTTCTGGCTGGTGAGCTAGTTGGCAGTGGTGGGAGCCTCTCCTGCCTCTGCAGCAGCACAAAGGACCCCTTGGGGGATGTCTGACTGCCGGCTTAGGGGAGTGGGCCTAAGCCGGCAGTCGGACATCCCCCAAGGGGTCCCAGACTGAGAGAGGGCACAGGCTGGGCTGAGGCCCCCCTACCCCCAGTACACGAATGTTGTGCAGCGGGCCTCTAGTATCTATATAGATATGCATAGATACATATATATCTAACATACACAGTGGGGCCTTGACTTACGAGTGTCCCGACTAACGAGTTTTTCAAGATATGAGCCGTCTCTCGGCCAATTTTTTGCTTTGAGTTGCGAGCTAAAATTTGGGTTACGAGCCAGCTTCAGATACCCCACCGCTAGTTGGCGCAGTGAACGTCACAGTGAACACCACAACATCAGCCCAGCATCACGTGTCTCACTCGTTCACAATTGATTTGACATACGAGTAATTTGAGTTACGAGCTTCATCAGGAAGCGAATTAAACTCGTAAGTCAAGGCCCCACTGTATTTCATATATAATTCTCTCCCAGTGCTAAAATCCAGGTCCTTTCCCTAGCACCTCAATCGGGCTTTGGGGATAAAGCAATGGAAGCCAAGCATATGCTTGCAGACAACTAATACCAACTTCGCTAGACTTGAGACAGTCTTCATATATTACCCCTTCTGGATTTGGACTGCCCCATTACTGAAGCACAGTACCTACTAAATCCCAGCTTCCCACCATCAAGCCATTTCTCTAACCCCTATCTATCACAACCTCAGAAACACATTTCCTTTAAAAAGTGTGGTAGATCATTCAATTGCTAGCAATTCACACCACCTCTCTTTGTGTGGGATATCAGAGCTCTGCTTGTATGCTCCTTACATTATTGAGTTATAACACTTGAGCTTTTAAAATTTAACAAGCATATCCAATAAAAGACTAACTCAGTTTCACAAATCGTTTGTACAAAAGTGATCTACATTAAAACAAACAAACAACAGGAAACAATTCTTAAATAGCTGTCATAGTCATCCATCCAATACTATCAACACTGTCTCTTTGTTGCTCTTATGTGTTGACATTCTAATTGCCTCTTAACAACTCTCTCTCTGCACTTAGTCTCTTTCCTCCAAACATTCTTCCACCCTTCTACCATGAATCTTTTGTTAATTCCTCAGCAAAAAACATTGGCGAGCCCTGGGTGGTGTGTTCAGTGGTTAGGGCATCTGCCCATGCACCCATGCACCGCAGGCTCATGGGTTCAATTCCAAGTCAAAGGCACCTACCTGAGTTGCAGGTTCAACCCCCTAGGCCCTGGTCAGGGTGGGTGTGAGAGGCAACCAATCGATGGATCTCTCTCTCCTCCCACCTCCCTTCTAATCTCTCTAAAAATCAATAGAAAAATATCCTTGGGTGAGGATTAACAACAACAAAACAAAGAAACAAAATAACAAACAAGAAAACCTTGGAGAGCACAACTGTAAGACATGTAAAAATTGATGTCTTGAATGTCTTTTGAAAGATCACATTTAAGGCTCATTAAGTCTGGCCCCAATTTTCTTTTTCAGCATTCTATCACTGAAATATTTACATGGGTCACACAGTCTTTTAATGCTCCCAGCAAATTCTGTCTTTGCACATTCATTAGTTCATACTATTGGCTAGCATACAATGCTTTCTCAAATTTTCTCTATCATCTATGCAAATCTCTCTCAATTTTCAAAGCCCAGCACAAGTTTTACCTCCTTCCTAAAACTCTTCTCTGCTATTCCAGGTAACAGTGCTGTCATGGTCACTCTGTCTCTCCCTTCCTCCTCCAAACTCCATGTAGCACTTTGGGTCTATTCTATTTTACAAACATCAATACCTCATATGTCATCTCTTCACATACATGTTCTTCTGTAAGATTATAAAATAATAAAATATCGATACTACATCAAATTTTTCTTGGTTTGCTTAAGCCAGTGATGGCGAACCTTTTGAGCTCAGTGTGTCAGCATTTTGAAAAATCCTAACTTAACTCTGGTGCTGTGTCACATATAGAAATTTTTTTATCTTTGCAACCATAATAAAACAAA